TGCAAGCCTTGAGCAAAAAAAGTTCAGGGATAGCACCCAGGCATTGCGTTCAAGCCCCACTACAAGCAAACAAAAAGATTAGAAACAGTAACAGGGAATCATGTGTGTGTGTGTGTGTGTGTGTGTGTGTGTGTGTGTGTATGTATGTATATATATATATATATGGTAGAGTGCTATGGAGCTGAAGAGCTGAGGGACAGCGCCCAGGCCCAGAGTTCAGGCCCCATGACTGGCAAAAAAAAAATTATATATATATATATATATAAATGACAATAATAATATATAAACTGGGTATTGGTGGCTAATGCCTGTAATCCTCACTACCAAAGAGGCTGAAATTTGAAGATCTTGGTTCAAAGTTAGTCTGGGTAGGAAAGAAAGTTTGTGAGACTCTTTATCTCCAATTAACTACCAAAAAAACTCAGAGTGGAGCTGTGACTCACGTGGTAGAGTGTCCCTTGAGCACAAAAGCTTGGGGGCAGTGCTCAGGCCCGGAGTCCAAGCCTCAGGACTGGCAGACATGCAAGCACATAGACAGACAGACACACAATAAAATATCTATAGTGGATACTCATTAATTCCCTAGAAACAATATTCAGATTTTATACTGAAAGATCATGACCTCTGTATCCATCTAATGTGTCCCCATTTCAGGAAATGTCTCCATAGCTGATTCCAGAAATAGGACCATGACTCAGTCTAGGACAATTGATATGCAGAATTCATTAGTTCAAAGAGGTGTGTATGCCTGCTCTCTTTTCCCGTTGGATAAGACCTATAGCTACCCAAACTAACCACCATATAGCCTGAGATGAAAGCTAACACAGTAGAACACAAAGCCAAGCATCGTTACCCTTAATGATTTCTTTGTGCCTCTGATCCAGCTCTACCTTACAGCCTGATTTCTCAGGGAGAGAAGCCAAAAAAATCTTTCTTTCTTTCTTTTTTTTTTTTCTAAGCCATTCTGAGTTGGCCTTCCTGTCCCTTCAAAATGAAAAGGTTCAAGACTGATACAATCTCTTCTCAGGTTTGTTGCACTGAATAAGTTATTGTATGGGACAGCTCTCTGCACTCAGCAAACAAAGCCTTTTGTAAACAAGAAAAGCAGAGTAAAAGTACAATATCAGCTTATTTAGGGAGTCCAAAGTAATATTAAAGTATAAAATTGGAACTGCCTTCAATTCCTTATGATTTGATTATAAGACAGTAAAAAAAGTGATTTTTGAATGACAGATGCTGCAATGCCTAGGGGCTTTCAGGAGCATCAGCATTCAGAAATGTGACATGCTACAGAAGGTGGAGTTAGGGATTGAGAAGCAACCAAACAGAATAAATTTGAGATGAGCACAATCTCAGCCCACAATGTCATTAGGCTATGCAGAGGCATGTGTCTTAAAAAGAAGGAACAAAGCTAGGCATTAGTGGCTCATGCCTGTAATCCTAGCAAATAGGAAGCAGAGACTTGAGGATCATGGTTTGAAGCCAGATAAGGCAGGAAAGTCCTTGAGACTCTTATCTCTAATTAAGCACCAGAAAAAGCCAGAAATAGAGCTTATGGCTCAAGTGGTAGCCTTCATGAGATGCCCATGAGGCAGGGTGACTTTCCCTATTTTGCAGGGGAGGATACTCACTCTTTGAGGCTGTGTTCCCTGCCCAGTTCCCACAGTGACATGTAAGTCTTTTATTGTACATGTCTCTGCCTATCCAGAGTCCTTCCTTCCCCAAAGTGCTTCATTTACTTTCACACTATAGAATGGGTCTCAGGTGAAGGAAAGCCAGGCCTGCTGAAGAGGCTGCTACTTAGAGTAAGTTGGGTATCTTAGTTCTTTTCTTTTTTTGGTTGGTCTTGGGGCTTAAATTCTGGGCCTGGGTGCTGTCCCTTAGCTCTTCAGCTCAAGGCTAGCACTTTACCACTTGAGCCACAGTGCCACTTCTGGTTTTCTGGTGGTTAATTGGACAAAAGAGTCTCATGGACTTTGCTGCCTGGGCTTGCTTTGAACTGCGATCCTCAGATTTCAGCCTCCTGAGTAGTTAGGATTATAGGTGTGAGCCATTGGCACCACGCTTCTTAGTTATTTCTTTAAAATGTTTTCTTCTTCTTCTTCTTCTTTTTTTTTTTTTTTTGCATAGAATGATGTTCAGAGTTTACTTGTTAGTTACTATTAAAACTAACATTAGGGCTAGGAAGGTGGCTCAGTGGTAGAGTGTTTGTCTCACATGCATGGGGCCCTGGGTTAGATTCCTTAGCACCATATAAGCAGGAAAAGCTGGAAGTGGCACTGTGGCTCAAGTGGTAGAGTGCTATGGAGCTGAAGAGCTGAGGGACAGCACCCAGGCCCAGAATTCAGGCCCCATGACTGGCAAAAAACAAAACAAAACAAAAAAAAACAAACCCAAAACAAAAACAGCAACAAGAAAACCAACCTTATTTTTTAAAAGCTTTCTTTTCTGTAGGTAATTGTGTAAAGGAGTTGCCCTTTCCCAGAGCAGTTTATGAATACAATGCCTCTTGATCAATGCCACTCCTTTCAACATTGTCACCCACCTCTCCTACCCAACCCATTGCCTCACTTTTCTTAAAAGTGTCATTTTCTTTTGAATTGATGACAAGAAAACTGTTGTACAGGTCTAGGGAAGTACTACCAAGTAGTCTCAAAGATGAAACTGCTAAAAATGAAAGCAGTGAAACAAATCAAGGAAGTTATTTTGTAGGAAGTATACACATCATAGGGATTTTCCAGTTTACATTCACCTACACTCAGAAGCTAAAAATAAATCCTAACCAATGTTGGGTCTGCCTACTGTATCTCTGGTGCTGACAAATGTGATAAAAAACATGGACATTTTGAAGAATCTAAAAGTTTGAAACATCATTGAACAGTGGGAGGAGAAGGATCATTGGAACTGAATAAAAAGGTATTTAATTTTGACCAGAAAAACCTAAAAATACCCATTTTTTCCTTAATTTCTAGAAATACATAAATCATAGGTTAACAACCCCCTTGTTTAAAAGTAGAGGGGAAATAGCTATAAGAAACAGAGAGAAACATGGCCTGCTTTTTAGGGATTGTTCTGTTAAAAAATGAACCTGCCTAGACAGCAGCAGCCTATGGTTGAAAACTGTCATCCCTCACAGCCAGGTAACCGACTAGTTCTTCATGTGCAATCTTCATCTTTCCTCAACATCTCACATTGTGAGTGGGTAGCTCTGGAGAAGACAGGAAAGAGGCAGGCATGATGTAGTCCAGGCATATCCCTGGCCAGGAAAGAGTCCACAGGAGCCCTGGACACTGGTGGGAAAGAGGCACAAGGCCAGAAAGAACATATTACACATGATTGTCTCATTTCAAAATTCTGCTCAGTGCTGGCTCTCTGCCCAGGGATGTGGAATGAATAGCTCTTGCTATTTTCCTTGAACATAGACAGTTAGAGCCCCCTTTTGCAAATCTCACATCTCATGATAGTAACAGCTTTTATGGACTTGTCTGGGAACCTCATCTTCATCATGACATCGTTTCCTTGGGAAAATCAGTAAAGAATTCTAAGTCATCTGCTTACTAATGAATTTTCCAAACACAATCCATTCACACATTGAACTCTATCTGTGGAATCACTGTGGGTGTTCTGAGGAGCATGCGCTTTCAGGAATTGGGGCCAGAGAAGTCTGCTGCTGTCTTGCAACTCCTGTTACCTCAGAGAAATGACCAAGTTTTTCCTTCAGTCTTATCTCCATCCATAATTCCACTGGAAGCTACCGAAAATGAAAGGTGTGTAACTGGGTGATCTCTACACTTCCTCTTCCTCCTTTAGATACTGGTTAGGAGAGTCCCTATCACTGTCTAGCTAGCCACATGGGGGTCTATTACTTTACTTTTTGCTAGCTCAGTTTTATAACTTCAAAATGATGCGAAGATGGCAGATGGAAACAAACAAAACTGAGGGTGCCAAGTTTCTGGGGCAAATAATACACATAGATGGACATTATAGAGTGTTGTTCTCAGTTCATGCAGGAAAGAGACATAGCACAGTCTGCTAAACTGGCCATTGAAAGGTATTTAAATTTACAGTTTTTCTGGGAAGAAAAAAGTATGATAATTCATAGTCACCAGAGTTTTAGATTCTATAAGCTATTTAATATTATTTAATCTGATGAATAGGAAAACTTGGAAAGGCTTGCCTGGCCCTTTACCTCTACTTAACAAGACAGGAGACCAATGTCTAAAAGCCAAATGATATGTCTGAGGTTCTCTAGTGAATGAGGAAAAAGGCAATGGCTAAATCCTGCTCTTTACTTCTTCATTCTGATACCATTTCCTCTTGTTCTAAGCCTAATCATGTTATTTCTAAGAAAATCCATGACATAACTGGTCACCAAGAAGCGATTGTAAGAAAAAAAATCCCACATAGGATTAGAGAGCTCAGATATATCCTACTCTAAGTCATCCTAGCTAATCTATTTATCTTATCCTCCTCGAATTCAGCAAAAGCAAGAACCCTTTGGGGATAGCTCATTTACAATAGTGTTGGTGAAATATTTGGGAGAATTTTACTATTAAGAGAAGAAGCCAGACACCAGTAGCTCATGCCACTGGTAATAATAGGCTACTCAGGCAAACCTGGGCAAAACAGTCCATGATTCCATTTCCAAAATAACCAGCAAAAGGCCAGGCAGGAGATGTGGCTCAAGTGGTAGAACACCAGCCAAGCCAAACAAGTTAAAACCTTGTACTAGCAGAAAGAAAGAAAGAAAGGAAGGAAGGAAGGAAGGAAGGAAGGAAGGAAAAGAAAAGAACCTCAAACCTCAGGCTATTGAAAATGCATGCAAAGGATAATAAATCTTTAAAAATTGATCTCATCTAAGATCTATGTCTGTGTGTCATAGTCTAGAAGAATTAAGTAATAAAGAATACCTTTATCCTCCCACCAGTATGCTCACTAAGATCACCTACCTGCCAGTCTATAATACAAGGGCAGATGGGGATGTGCTGCTAAAGTATCTCTCTCTGTCCAAGAAAAGCTACCAATACACAGGCACTGCTGCTCTAATCTATTCCTGGACTACCTAGGCAAAGGAGAGAGAAGTCAGTATGGGCAGGTGACGGGCATGATGAGAATTCTAACATGAACAATATTCTGACTTAAGACAAGTTTTTGCTTTTGTTGTCTTTTTACATGTTGTCTTGTGTCAGGACCTCAAAGCAATTCTTCTGCTTAGAGGCTGCTACAGAAAGAACCTGGTCCCTGTGAGACTGAGGTCTGTTGGCAAAAACCTGATGACTGTTTTACTGGTCAGCCACAGTTCAGATAAAGATAACCTCAATGTCTTGATGGCATTGGTGGAGTCTTCCTGCTACGAGGAAAAGGAGAGCTTGGTCCCTAGAGAAGTCATACGATCACTATGCCCTCACCCTGAGGCCCATTGGTACAGAGCTTGACAGCCTCTTAAATCTGAAGATTTTAATTAGCATGATACTGGCTAACATACAGGAAAAACAACAAAAATTATATATCTTAGACTATAACATAAAGAAAATGCCCAAAGAAAATATAAGTAAATATCTGTCTAATTTTGAAAAATACTAACATCATCCAAAGCTTTTTGTTATGGAAAACATAAATTTGATGACACAGACTTCTTCTATACAAGTATGATTTACAACTAAAAGGTATTTATTATATAGAAGCTTGTGAAATACAAAATCCTCAACAGAAAAATGGATACAAGCTCATAATCCATAAAAGGGTTTTAGTCAAAATAAATACACATGGACCTCAATAATTAAGTATGAAGCATATAGAGATACAGATTAGATCAGTAACAGAGGTTATCTTTGGAAAAGGGTGGTGGATAGCTTTTGTGTACAACTGGACTGACTTTTTTGGTACAATGAACATGTAATTTTGAAAACTGGTTATTAAGTAAGAACTAAATTCAGAACACTGGAAAATGTGAAATATTAAAAATAGCTTTTCTTCAAAACTTAAGAACTTTTCTTTAAGTTGCATGGATCTCTTCTATCTCGATCACCAGTAGCAGTATTCTGGAACTATTGTCATAAAAGAGAATTTTCAAAGTTATGGAAAAATATCTAGAAAACTAAAAAAAGTGGATTCTTTTCTTTTTTTGTATATATATTTTTTGTTGGTTGTAGGCTTGAACTCTGGACCTGGGTGATGTCCCTTAGCTCTTCAGCTCAAGGCTAGCACTCTACCACTTGAGCCACAGCACCACTTCTGGTTTTCTGGTGGTTAATTGAAGATAAGAAATTCATGGACTTTCCTGCCTGAGCTGACTTTGAACCACGATCCTCAGATCTCAGCCTCCTGAGTAGCTAGGATTATAGGCATGAGCCACAAGCACTCAGCCTAGATGGACTGATTTATATTTGCATATAATTTCCTTTATGAAAGTTGAAGAATTCTGTCATCAGAGTACAGAAGCTAGTACACAAATTGTTAGCTTACTTCTGTTCAAAACATAGGGCTTATTTTATTAAAGTTTGATTCATTGTCCCTAGAATGATATAATTGTACCCCCAAGAGTTTTTAACACAACTTTTAAATGTCTCAGTAAAGCTTTCTTTTATGTGAAACCATTTTATAGTCCTTCTTTAGCTACATTTCACTTGCTGCTTCTGACAGAAATTGTGTAAGAAAGGATTCTGAGACAATGTGATACCTCCTACCTTGATTGGGAAGAGGGCTAAAGCCCACAGAGGCTGGATTGTGCACAGCTGAAGAATACAACAGACAAGCTAAAAATAAGTCAGCTTATTTTAATTACAACCTTATATTCACATAAACCAGAAGAAGTTGTTCTTTTTAAATGAAAACAGTAGTCTGACTTAAAAGAAGAGCTTGATTTAGTACTTAAATGTTGTCTCTTGTGAAGATCTCTAGGCAAACCTGCTTAGACAGTGCTAAAGTAAGGCCCTGACCCTGTGTGGCTAGGGTCTGGCTGCAGAAACCTCATAGCTGTTTCACCTTCAGCTGCAGCTCAGATAAAGCATAAGGTAGGGAATCTGCGCAACATAATATATATGTCCAATTTTTAGCAGCACCAATACTACATGCCTACCTGTCCCCTCCCCTCCACTCCCTACCTCTCTTTTCTTTTTTGGGGGGGAGAGGGGAGGATGGTGGTGGTACTGGGGTTTGAACCTAGAGCCTTTTGCTGGATTGACAGGGTCTTTGCCACTTAAGGTGGCAAGCCCTTCTTTGCTTTACTTGTTTTTTGAATTGGGTCTTACCCCGTATCCCCAAACTGGCCTTAGATCATGATCCTCCTCTATCTATCTCCTCCTTCATAGCTGGGACTACAGTAACATACTATCATACCTGGCTTATTTGTTGACATGGGAGTCTTGATATCTATTTTCTTTTTGTCTGAGCTGGCCTCAACCTTAGTCCTCCAATCTCTGCCTTCAGAGTAGCTGTTACAAGCCACTGGATCACGCACTATCAATCATTCTGTATTTGTCAAAGGATCACAGTCTTGGACAGCCTAAGTTCCAAAGTAAGAAAGGGAAGTCTAGAATTTTAGACTTTGCTTCTGAACAGTAGAAAAGATCTGACAGAACTTCTAAAGATGCAGATGCAGAATGGAAACACTTAGAGGACACGTGGAGATATCTGAATTATGTCATCAAGAAATCCTTACATAGCCT